CGAGAAAGCAAGATACTAAACCATTAGATAATCATCTGAATCGTAGATTTCACATACATTGAAATAAATCAAACCAGCCAATTATATTCTCTGATTGACTATCAATATTTAATGTATTATGCATGACTGATCATCTACACAATCAAACGCCCCGTTCACATATTTCTACACAAATGCAAGAATTTCTATTAGATTAATCCATCAAGTGTTAAAAATAATCGAAACACTCAAAGTCTGAATAGGGCGTAAATTGTTTTCAAAAACCTTCAAACCGAACTAACCAACTAAATATCCAACTTAAAATAAACTTAGATCAGTCTTTAATAATCTTCAAATTTTGAGCATCTTCACATGAGACCAATTGGGTCGATTTCCTCTTCCTATGGAATAAGGTTGTTTGTTTATTTTATAATCTATCTCTCTCTATCAAATAGTTGAAGTGAAGTATTGACTTCACTATTCCCATTAAGTTCAGAAATCAATGTGAGATAACACATAACATGTGCAAATAACAGATTTTCTTATTACGTTTCATAGTTAGGGAAAATAGTAGCTGGAAGTTATCGAAGGATGAAAGAGCAAAAGTGACTAAAAAATACATCATATGTACAGGTAAAGATAGACATTGCGACTCCAATTCAACGATGTCTTATATTTACTTCTTTCCTCAATTATCTAAACATCTATATCAGTCCCACATGTTAAAGTGTACCTTTTCAAACAAATGTTCCTGGTGATTTCCATAATACAAGCGAAATCGATATATATTAAGTCAGTAAACAATGGAAGGAGAAACAAAGTGGGACTAATAATTAGGGCCAAAATGATTTAGAATGTGCGGTAGAGACAAATATGTATTCTGGGCCGTTTTCGGTTGTAAGGTGAAGCTTTCTGTAAAGCTATTACCTGGTCAATTACATCGAATGGAATTGAGGTTTAGGATTATAATTGAAATCTGTGGGATGGCTGAAATTCCCTTAAACCCAGTAATTGTCAGTCCTTTGTGCTTTAGTATGTTTCTATCTTTCTTCTCTATTGTGCCAGTGACAGATCGTTATCTAGCCGATACATAATATTCATTTTTAGTTAACTGAACTTGATTTCTCTGACATGCAATTTAACATGATGAAATCAAGGATTTGATATAGTCGGTACTTGTTAATGTCAAGGTCATTATTCAACGAAACACAAAAAGCAGTATTTAAAGAAAATTGTAATCAGTTGAATTATGAAATTATAGAACGCTTACTGAGGTTCGGAAGGACTAATTGAGCTAAAGGTGCTAAGTTCAGAGTGTCTAAGTCAGTTGAAACCTAATAGAATCATAAGTATCACGTTTGGCAGCAAACTCTGCTGACCTAAGCACAACAGAATGATAAGTTTTTATTGATCTTTATTGAAGGCAGACATTTTTAAGTCACAACTTGCTTTAATGCAGGCAGGCAAATAAAGCTGCACATTCTAAATCTCATAAAGTACCGTTCTCGCCTATTGCCAAAGGCACAACACTATTGGAAATCCACGTCGTGGAATAATTTGTTTACGGTTATAACATTTTCAAAGCGTATTTATAAAAAATTGTGTTATTGCATTAACTTTAAATGAAACTTTTTAATTTGTACTCGAATTATATTTTTTCAGAAATAATCCCAATTTAACGTATCATTTAACAAAACCTAACATGAATGCTGAATGAATTCAGAAAAGAATTAATTAAAACTATTTAGAAGCCTGGATGATTAATAATGTATCATATAAATTAATCTTATATACTTATCATTTATTCTCTTAAGTATTTCATTTGCGCAAAAAGCTAGATCAAGAATAAAGTATTCGGCTCGAACTTCGATTCCAACCAAACTACTCTGCACTATATATATAAAAACTCTATGTTTGGAAACAAGTTTAGAATTAGTAAATTATGTAGTAGCTGTTTAATCAAAACAGATTATTTTAAGGAAAGTTACCAAGTATTCCTATTAATACATTTAAAACCATCGGCTTCTTCAAGCCAGGTTAAATTTTTTAAACCCATATTGATCCTGAAAATATAACTTCAGACGCCAACTGGCAGTTCGGGCATAAACATGCTAAAAAAGTAACAACTGTATAATAAATGTTTTAACATTTAACTCAGAATTTCCTAGAAAAGCCAAACCATGCCAAATTTTCAAAATTACTTTCAGGTTTTCGATGTAGAAAATCATTAGTAACAGTCTTTGCAAAATGTTCAATGAAAAAATTCTCAATAGATCCCAAGGCCTTTGAAGAAGCTTTAAGAAAATACTAACTCATCAATATCTTGAAGCACACGTTTCGGAGAAAATCGGTTGCAAAGTCAAATTTTTTGCAGGATTTAGCGCCATTAAACTACATTACAAAATTCAACAATTAAGCCAATAAATGAATACGCTTTACAGGTAAATACTGTAGTTTGAGAAGAGCGAACAGATCAAACTGACAAGTTGTTGGCGAAAAATGCCAAAAAATTAATTATTAGTCATTAGGGTATATGCCCGGTATCCATCGGCTGAAAGAACCTAAATGAGATTTCATGAAATGAAATGAAACGAGCAAAACTAATTGCTGAAAGACTTTTAGCATAATAATACCTGGAGTGTTCCATTAAAAAAAATTAAGTTAGTAATCTTTATGAAAAACTCGAACTTCTAGTATATTGATGCACTATTTGAAGGGAGTTACGCTATGTCCCTATAACCCCAGATAAATGGTGTTAGAGAACCAGGTTTAATGTTCCAAATGTGACCCTGTTTTCAACTTTAAGTGTCTAATAAACTATAAACCGCAGGCCCAATAAACCTTCTATCAAAATCAATTTTTCATTCATTCATTCATTCATTCATAATTTTAAAATTACACTCCAGTTAGCGATAATCTTCCACACTGTCTTGGTTTAACCACTTTGCATATAGTTTTAAACCAAATTAGCTTGTTGCCTACAGGCAATTTTAGACCATGACGTGATGCAGTGTGAATTTTTACATCTCCAGCTGAACGTTACCTCATCGAGTAATTTACGCAGCCACAACTCCGATCGTTGCCTGCATAATATTGCACACAAATATTTTTGCTTTAAATTTCGCATGACTAAAATTATTGAATTCCTTCGGAATTCAGAATGCCTTGAAAATGTTCCCCATATTATACTAACTAAGTTAAAGGGCAACTGTTTCAAGCATGTGGATACTTCACTAATCACAAATGAGAAGTGCATAACATCAATTAATAATAAACATTAATTGCGCCAGATGATTGAAGACGCGTTGAAGAGAAAGAATACATAATTTTTGTGATGGTGTAAAACTAACAAATTAAGTTAAAAGCCAAAGTAGGTATATCAAAAAATGATTAATTTCAAAATATAGACACTGACTATTAATATTAATTATAAAATCACCATTTTAGTAATGCCAATGAAGATGAGAAGTGCGATGTTAATATCAAAGAAGAAAATCTAAATTATTTTGCAAACAAACAGGTTATACAGAGTTAATCACAAATCGCCTAACATCTTTAACAGTAAATCAGAGAAATCGAAATTTTTTATGATAAGGAATGTATAAAAATGTTTTAAATGACCAGAAGAAAAATATAATTTTCAATAGTAAAATTCACATCCCAGCAACAATATCGAGCAGATATTGAAACTATCCCTTTCTGTCGGCTTGCGGTTTATTTTACCGAGATAAAATTAACTTCCTTCCGAAGCTCCTTTTCCAATTGAATGCATATTCAGCCTGCCTAGTGATATAATCGAACTTGGAAAAAAGAAAGCTAGGAGAAGCTTCGTACGGAATAAAATTAAACCATGATAGAGAAAGTTCCTTAATTGAAACAGATATTCTAACAAAGCTTCTTTCGTTTTACACCAAACAGTTGCAAGTTTATAGAAAATGGAGGGCTCGTGATTGAATTTTCCGTTTGCATTTCAGGAAGTCGTTCGCATTTTAAAAGCCGACCTTGTAAGTTTTAGACGGTATTTGTTTCCTAATAAAATAAAAAAATTGAGGAACTTTTTAAATTACCTTTCAAATGCAGTCATTTAAATACGAGAGCACCGATTGAAATTTATAAATTCATGTGATCTTTCATCAGAATTTACGTTAAACTTGCCATAACAACAAACATTTACTTAAATCAACCCAGTTGCCAATTTATAAGTAAACTGAAATATAGCGATTAAGATGAAAATTAAAAACACATATTCGGGCAAAGTTACATAATTAAAATAATATATTAACTAAATTTGATTGTACCTTTGGCAACATACCTGTTCAATTCTGCAAAAGTTTTTTAACGGTAAATGTTTAGTGAAAGAGAAATTACCAATCCTTTCACCGTGAAAAAACTAGTTGGGTTAGTACGAGTATTAGTCCTTTTTATTAATACCAGACATGCGAATGTAGATTCATTGCTTCAAGGAATAATTCCAAATACATTCAGTCAAAAGATTAATTCATTAAATAATTGAATATTCCTCTGCTGTTAAGGAAATGGTAGTAAATGATGGCACTACCGGTACGACCTCTCAAAGCAATTGAACTGCAGGTTATAATTTGAACTGTTGAGAGTTATTGGGAGGATTGTTCTGCCTGACTACCAACATACACCAACATCTAAGCCAGAAAGAAACAGACATTAAAAGCAGGTTCCTTGTGTCTATCCATCTTTGACTATCAAATAATCCTGTTGAAATGTTGATCGTTTCGAAAAAAGCTGAATTAAAATATAAAACTAGAATTTCATAGTAAAACGAATTGAAATTCGTTGACAAAAGTTCCAACCAGAACATTCTAAGCCGAGAACTATGTGAATTTTCGACTATGAAAACGTCCAGGAATCGACAAAATAACGCTACATTTGCATTTACGACAGGCACAAACAGCGGCCACACTTTGGGCCCTTATTGATTCATGTTTTTATTTTTTGCCGTTCTCTTTAATTTCAATAAATGTAAAAGAATTGCTTTTATTTTACAGTTCCTCCTAATATCGACGATTCGCTAAGCAGCAGCGATGTTATTGTTCGTGAAGGCTCCAACGAAACACTCTTTTGCAAAGCCACGGGATTTCCGGAACCCTCCCTTAAATGGAAACGAGATGATGGTGCTAAGTTCAGTATCAACAAAACTCATAAAGGTGAAATTTACTTAAAATAAGTTAAAATAGTAAAAATGCTTGCCATTTTTTATTTAGCAGTTTAATAAAGCTTAAGTGTACCCCATGTGTTAACGAAACGCTGTAAAAGCTTTAATGTCTAAACCGAAAAAGGTGTCACTCAATCTCTACTGAAAGTGCATACACTATCGTGTTGGGGGCTAAAATTACATTGATCCATAACCTTCAGTCGGGAAATAAAACAGCAACCAATCAGAAACTGATTAAAATCAATTACCCAAGTTATTCTTGGATTTGTGTTTTTATAGCGTTTTTATTATTTTTCTATTGCTCATATTTTTTCGTAATACCTCCTACACATTTGAGATGTTGATCAATTTATTCTCAAAAGGTAATGTAAAAGTTGTTCAGTTACCGGCATTCATATACAACGCTTTCAATGGTTCTGCCTTTGACAAATATCAGAAAATTTCGTCAGAAAATCCTGAAGAAGCCACGAAAGGAATTGATGAATTACGGGGCTGTATAAGCGCTTAAATACATTAGCTTTAGCCAATACCATAATGAACAATGTTTTCTTTGTATGGCCACTAACAATTTTACTATTACGGGCCTAGAAAAGTAAATCTGTTTTTAATACTATCAATTATTCAATTCGTCTTTCCTGTTGTTGTTTTAATGCAGTTCTCATGCTACGAGTTAATTGTTTGTTTGTTGATAATTTAGTTTTAGTCTTAACTAGTTTGTCAGAGCTTAAATATAAATTGTAACTATAAAACATTTAAATATTGTGTCTGCCATTAATGATTTGTTTTCATTATTCTAGTGTATGAGTGTGAAGGAGAAAAATTGGAACTTTATAAAATATCTCGACTGGACATGGGTGCATACCTATGCATAGCCACTAATGGAATCCCGCCATCTGTCAGCAAACGTATTAAACTGAGCGTAGATTGTAAGTTTTTATATTTTATTGTTCCCTTATATTATAAATTAAATTACATGAATTTAATGTGAGAAAAGTTTTGAAATCAATAAGACTTATATCGACATGAAACAAATACGTTCGGTAGATCTGAAGTTCGATATGACTAAGAATTGGAAAACGTATTGTCTTAGTTCGGTATCTTTATGTGCTTTTCATATTCCCAAAGCTACAATCTAAATTCGAATAAATTTCCAGTAATGCCCCTTAAAACTTAACGGTTTTCTTCGAAAGTAAACTAACTTCTTTATTGGAGATCGGAACAGACTGATAAAAAACCTAATCAAATCCTTACATAGGTAACGTCGGATTTCGGTGCCTGAAGTTGCATTTAAACTGTATTTTTTATTTTAATTATTATTCTTTTCCTCTTTAGATTACTTTTACTTTTTCCGGGAGTCTCAACAGCTTAAACTTTCTCCTCATTGAAAAAGAAAAGATTTAAAAACCATTTTCTGATTTCTATCAGCTTTGTTGTCAATACGCAAGGTGAGAAACTGAAAACGAATTATTAAAGCTGGTTTCGTAACAGACTTAAATACAGTATTTCAGGAATCTAAATGTTTCAAAGGTCAAAAATAATATTACTACTGTAAATATTGCTTTAAATAATTACTTACAAATGAACCCTTAGATAAATGTTCACTCAAAGTATTCGAGGGTTTAAAATTTACTATTTGGAAAAAGGCAGTCGTTTTATTAATATTTTTATTAATAAAGTCAGGGAGGCAAAACAAATTTGAGGATGTAGAAGCAGCTCAATTAAATTGTTTTTCTGCTGCTAAACATTTTTTTCTTAATTTTTTTCTGAATGTAAAAAGGTTGTTGGAAAATATTAAAATGGGTATTTTTAAGTATTGAAATTTACAAATTAGTATATGCATTATATATAATGTAGTAAATATAGTATGTATACTATATTAATATTTTTAAATAGACATAAAATATATACGAGCCACTTTTCATTTGTTGGCGTTTTGCAGTTTTGAAATTGAAAAAGTAAAAGTAGGTTTATAGCAGCAAAAAGTCTGAACCGATTGACCAAACTGATAAGAACAGGTTTATAATAAGAGTTTCTGAAATTCGTCAATGTACTCTTTAAAGCTTTGATTTAGTTTACCGGAAAATTTTAGGTTTTTTAGTTTTGGAAAAATTTGAAAATATTAAATGAATAAAGAATGTTTCTTTATGTAATTATTTTCTTCTATTTTATAAAACCGAAAATTAAAAGTACAACACTTGTACCTATACTAGTTTCCTTAAATTTATAATTGTAAAGGCTTCTTGGAGGTAAAGAAAAATGATATTTATACAATTTTTCAGCTAAACTAAAGTGTTTTAAAACTGCTTATCAAATTATTGAGTAAATTAAGAAACTGTTAAAACATACATTTCAAGTTGACTAGTTGTCTGCCAAGCATAGTTAAAAGATAAATCATATTAAAGTACAAATTAAATTACTAAAAACGAAAAAATCTCTTCACCGGGTGTCAATTTATCAACTTCGAAATGTTCAAATTCAAGGAAGGAATTATTGCACCTGCAAAGTATACAAAGTTTTGCTTGGGGATCTTTAGAAAATATATAACATTTGCTTTTAAAAGCCATTACAAAACCAATATATTTGCATGAAACTAAAATCGAAATAAGGCAGGAGGGGCCCTTTTAACACATTTTGCAAATATACCTATAATAAATCTTCCGGGCTTAAGTTTAGCTTATGTATAAGCTTTCTATACTTTTAAGTACATGAAAATCCCCAAAATCATTGGTCCAGTGTAAAGTTGGTAAAGTGTAAAGCACCAAATAAATATCTTATTTCAAACCTTTGAAATCAAGTTTTGGAAGGTTTAAAAATCGAATATTGAGTAGTTTCTAAATAATGGTTAAAGGGAATGTAGAATTTGAAATTTTAAAAATTATTTCTTTTGTCGAAATAATCCCAAATATCCTTTTCAAAAAAATTACTCCATTTTTGAATCACCCTATAAACAAATTAATTGATTTATCTTTGGTAAACCCAGAAATGAGCGAAATAAGTTGACTTTTTTAATAAAATATTTGCAAAAATTCACGACTTGAATGCAATAAATAAATGAAAATACGAACAATGTTTGAAAAAGTCTAAGCTGAGGTTGGTTTGAGCATTTCAATGTTCACCAATTGTAACAAGATTGATTAAATTAAGCTAACCTTTGTCCTTCAAATGGAGAAACCCAATTCCGACCCAAAGTTCTCACCATGTTGACAATTTTCTCACACACATATCACTTTTTCTACGCATTATATATCAAAAATATTCTCGCAAGAAGATGAATTTTTTTTCCCCGCTCATCCGTCACCCCGTCAGGTCACCCCGTATAAAAAGCAAATGAATTAAGATCAGATAATCTTGCAGGCAATTGCAAATTAGCAAACGATTAAAAAACCACGTACTTAAAAACTTCCGCAATTTTCAAGTAATACAATCATCCCGTTTAATCGTTTTACCATACTGGCCCTACAAAAACCTTTCTATTGCTTTGCAACCAGTTCTCTAAAACCGAAAATAACCGGATATGCACCGCTCGCGATAAAATAAACAAAACAAAAATCGCACACTTTCTTTGTTATATCTTGCTTAGTATTGGAACCCAATACTACCAACCAAATTTTTCTAAAAACAGACCATTCAATTAAACAAATGAAACACGGGTTTATTATTATGCGTTTATAATTGTCAGGATCAGAGTTAAGCGATTTCTGCACCAAAATAATTTGCATTTTTTCAAGTAAATTCTAAATATTCTTTACAAATTATTAACCAAAATTACTCGTTAATTTAAAATTACATTTTCTGCTGCTATATTATTTCATTTATCCAAAATGTGAACATCCGGAAATAGCAAATCGAGTTAAAGTGAACAGGAAAGATCAAGGATGTGCAACAGTATCTGCTGATAGCAAAATCAATCCAGAAAGAAGAAGCGTCATTATACCTGGAACTAAATAAAAAAGTCTGTTAAAAAGCAAATGACTTTATTCGCTGTGAATGATTGCGTGTACATTTTTTGCTTGGGAATGATTTAGGGAGCGGAAGACAGCCACTTGACCATCAACCAGAATCAATTAATCACGGATGAATATGATGGTGGTGTGTAGCAAAATGGCGCGTCGCATTACAGTCTCCTATTTCAATTAATTATTGACGGGGCCACATATAACAAAAGGACTCCACATTCTGCCCCTGGCGAACTTGGATACATGTGTTTATCCTTCACGTCCCAGATTTTTTGTATGAAAGAGTTTTCTCTGTCTGTTGCTAATTAAATTTACACAGTGATAATGTTAGATGGTCTTTTGGAATTAGCACCGGGCCTTTATAGTTCGTTTTTCTTCTGAACACTGTCAAGTAGCTTTTTGTATATGTAAATCCTAGATCGAAATACCTATCATTACTAACAACAGGTAATCATAAAAAAAATAAAAGCATGATCATTTCAAATATTACTTATTTACGTAGGTATCAATGTTATAACTTATCTACATGAAATAATTTGTTGGATGGGTGTCTCTAGGGTAACAATAGCAGATTTTTCTTTTATTTTTCAATTTTAGTTTTTTAACCCTGCATTTTCGTAGCTACAGATTCTATTAGGATGTTTTTTGTAATCTTGTTTATTATCATCTTAGGTATTTTTTTCAGTTAAAAAATTCTATGCATATATCATTTGTATGATTTATCATGTGATGCTGCATAAAAACGAAATCATCCCATACGAGGTTTAAAAATAATTCACTTATATATATGCCAATTTTAAATGGAACTTTAACATTTTCATTAAACTTATTAAATATATTTAATGGTTTGCTTCAACATCATATTCGCTTCCAACAATAAATCAATAAGAAAAACTGAGATAATACACCTTTTCACATGGTACAAGCGCTTACAGGATTGACGAATATTTAGTCACTGTCAAGTATGCACTTTTGCCCTCTTACATTGACATGTAGCTGATTGAAAAATATTGATATTGATATTGAGAAATATTAAAACTGTGTTTGCCCAATATGAGCTTGAGACGCTAAATAGAGCTTCGTAGTTGACACTCTAAAAAACAGTTTCTGTTCTTAAAGAAAAATAATCAACACTCCTTTGTGTACATTTCAAGAACTGGATAATCGCTTTAGGTTTCCGAATGCAAAGAATTTGTGAAATTGTGTAAGAAGGAATTCAAAGTGGTGTTCCCAAGATACTTAAACCATTATCCATGGTGATTTTTTTCATATGAAATCATCTTTGCAACTATTTTGTTATTTATTCTCAGACAGAACGAAAGACAACTCAGAACTATGTGCTGAAGCCCCTATATTTTTATATAGGAAACAAGTTGTTTTACACTTACTGAGGATGAGACTGTCTTGGAAAACCATTCTTCAGTTCTGATGATAATAATAGTACACTGGTGTTATCGGCGTAAGCTATTATTTTTACTCAATCCTTCGTTGATAGAATTCAGTTATATTGTGAGAGTAGATTGAAAGTAAAAGTAGGTGAAAGACCTTGTGGTGTTGTCTCCATATGTAATGATCCTCATGATTATCATCGTGGAATAATCGCCTTATATGTATAAGCTTCAAACATCCAGTACAAACATGTTTTTATTATTGCTTTTCAAATAAATGCTGATGCTTCAAATATATCTCTTTAAGTTGATACGATTCTTTTCTATCCATGTTATATTTCATGAAATATTATTACAAATCATGAAGCCTATTACTCTCTCGTTATGCCTTTTTCTATTAGCTGTAAGTGGATTATACTCGCAAGTTCTGGTAATTGCGTTTTTGCATAAACCTTATTCATAAGCTCAAATAATCATAAAGCTCAGTAAATAAAAATGCAACTCAAAAATGCAAGTGCAATTTCTCTTTAAGCACTAAACTAAATTAGGCATTGCTTTTTTAGTTATTTAGTTTTATATATA